TTCTTCCTCGTTCGAATTAACACCTATTCGTCCTACGACCTCAAATAATTAAAGGTTGCATTCGACCTCGTTCGAATTAACACCTATTCGGCTTACGACCTCAAATAATTAAAGGTTACATTCGACCTCGTTGGAATTAACACCTATTCGGCCCATGGCCTCAATTAATTAAAGGTAACATTCTTCCTCGTTCGAATTAACACCTATTCGTCCTACGACCTCAAATAATTAAAGGTTGCATTCGACCTCGTTCGAATTAACACCTATTCGGCCTACGGCCTCAATCAATTAAAGGTCACATTCGACCTCGTTCGAATTAACACTTATTCGTCCCACGACCTCAATTAATTAAAGGTAAGATTCGACCTCGTTTGAATTAACACCTATTTGGCCTACGGCCTCAAATAATTAAAGGTTACACTCGACCTCGTTCAAATTAACACCTATTCGGCGTACGGCCTCAAATAATTAAAGGTTATGTTCGACCTCATTCGAATTAACACCTACTCGGCCCACGGTCTTAACTAAATGAAGGCTACTTTCAACCTCGTTTAGCCTACTCAAACGAATTAGTTATGACAAAGGCAATCAAGCAACAAAATCAGAAAAGCGCACAAACTCGAACAACGAAAAGAAATCAAGTACGAATAGCAAAACACTTCATACTTTGAATATTTGTTCTTTACAAAGGCTCGAATCCACGCCTACAAAAGGTATACACAAATCTGCGGCTAAACAAAAAAGAACAACTAATCACCACCAGCTTTATCGCCCAGACCGTCTCCACCTACCTCCTCGCCATCGCCATCGCCATCGCCAGCGGGATATTCATCCTCGTACCAGGCGGCCTGTTCAATCTGATCCACGCCCACATTCTTCTCCTCGTCGCCGACTTCCGGTGTAGCAGGAACATATCCACAAGCAAACCGAGCCTCACGCACCATAGCACGAGCATCCTCGAGGTCGGCTTCTGAAATAGCCCCCGCCCCCATCAGATCCCTGAATATGTCCAGCTGGACCTCATCATGAATCCATTCCTCGTACAAATCCCGCAGAACATCAGGAAAGGCAGAAGTCCGGGATGAGGACGGCTGAGCCAACAACTGCGCCTTCTCGGCCTTGGGAGCAGCAACTTGATCTCTAAGGCTCGAAGGCTCTTCTTACAGCTCCACTACCCGCTCATCAAGCCGCTCCTCTCTAAGCCTGGCCGTCTCCAGGGAACTCTCCCTCTCAGAAGGCAGAAATTGGATCACGATTGTAAAACCTTCCGCTCTTCTCACAGCCGACAACTGAGTCGACTCTGCCTTCTCTAAGCTCTCCGCCTTCTCAGCAACCTCACCACTCAGACCATCCGTTTTGAGTTGGTACTCCTTGAGCTCGGCGCGCAGTGAAACAACCTGAGCCTGAAGATCGACGCATTGGGCCTCAACCCCCTTGTTGACCTCAAGTTCTTCCTCTTTATCCCTCAACGCCCCCTCGAGGACGCTGCATTTTCTGATGACCCTTACCAACTCGTCATCCTTCTCCTTCAACTCGTCTGGGAGAGCCCATAAATTACTGCTCCCGCCAAACCGCCTGCAAAGCTCACGGTGTTTATCACGGTATTCGCGATACTTCCGCTCCATCTTCTGAAAAATGGCCTTACGCCTCTCCTCCCGACGGGAACTCTCGATCTCCTAAATCATGGTCTGAAAGAAAGACAGAAAACGAGGAATAAGAACAAAACTAAGCTCAACAAAAAAAAAATCAAAAGGCTCACCCTGAGAGTGAGGCCGGCTATACTCCTCGACAAAGTAGCATCCTTCAACTTCTCCAAGGTCTTACCCTCCACATCGGAATAGAGAGGGCCAAGAGAAGGGACCACGTCCTCGGTATCCACCAGCAAATTCCGATCCGAGGGGATCGCAATGGTCCGCGTGGTCCCCTCCAATCTCACCTTAAGTCGAGTAAGCCCTTCCCACATCATCCTCACCTCCTCGGTGTCCATGTCGGAGCCCGTTTCGTAACCTTCTTCGGCTATACTTTTACCCTCTGTGTCAACCCGGGAAGAAGGATCCTCGGCAGGTAGCAAGGCCGATGGCTTATCCTGTCGTAAGGCGTCAGGGACTCTCGCCGACGGCCCTTCAAAGTTCATCACGGTCTCGGGGAGAGACGTACCCTCCTCGGCACCCAGCGACGGCAAAATCGTGGGCGGCAACTCAACGTCAACTCCGACGTTTATGGTCGCCATTTCTCGAACAACGAAATCACTCATCGCCGAACTCGCCGCTCGGACGGCATCATCGCCGACATCTACAGATCGCTACTTACGGGGGAGCAAGTTATCATTATTCGACGACAACTCCTCCTCATCGTCCTCGTCTACTAGATGGCATAGAGGGGAGGTCGAGATCTTTGCCGCAGGTGTAGTCGACAACCGAGCGGACCTCACCGCAGCATAAGGAATAGAAGCTGCCTTCCTTTTAATGAACGCCGGAGCTGGAGCCTTCGACCTCCTCGAAGAGCCTCGAGCTGAAAAAGAAAAGCCAAAAACTTTTTTAGAAGTCACCTCTTGTGAAAAATCGTGGCGAACAGACGACAACTCTGTCAAAACGACAGAGAAAGGATAGCAAATGTCCCTGTATAAATAAACACATATAGACGAACTCACCAGTCACGGAAGGTGCGGGCCCGAATTTCTTAATGAAGGCCGGCCATTCACGAATCCCCACTGTATGAGGCAAGACTTGGATGACCCAGTCGTAGATGTCCCCAACCAAAGGAGGGGGCAAAGTCTCGGCTGCACAAAGAAAGGACGGAATGTTAGATCACGACTAAAACATATAAAACAAGTTCGAAAGAAAATACTTACGGGCATAATTCCAAGCCTCAGGAAACCCGCTTGCGTTGGCTACCACGTCCTCGGTCTTGACGAAGAAATGGTAGAGCCAGAACTGACAATTCGCCTTATCGTCCATCTTCTCCACCAAACTCTTACTTCCTCGGTGGCAAAGATGCAGCATCGTCCCCCTATATAAACTGGGGGCGAAGAGATGCATGAGGTGGCGAAGAGAGACCCCACGGCCAGCCAACTCTGCATATTTCGTCAACATGCGGATAAGCTTATAGACGAGGGGGAACGTTGAGTCAGGCAGATGCCGTAGTAACGGCAAAACTCCTCCGCCAATGGGAGAAGAGGAAAGGAATAAACTACATAGAACGGGTACGCGTAGAACGCGCAATAACCCAGGCGATGTATATGTACCACATCGCGCCCCACCGGAATCAGATCAATGCGAGCCGGGATTTTGAACTTTGCCCTGAACTCGGCAAGGTCGACCTCGTTCATCATCGACTCTGAGGCCTCGGAATCATCTTCAGGCAATTTCGAAAAATCAAATCCATTCTTACTGCGGGGAATTATTTCCTCTACTGTAGGAAACCTCTCGTCTTCAAAGGCAACGAGACATCGTCGCCGTGAGGAGCCATACGCATCGGCAAAGGGGTAGGACTAGCCGCCATGCGAGAACTAGAAGGTGCGTTAACCATGTTCTTGAGAAAGAAGGTTTTAAACGCAGAAGGGTTGAAAATAGTAAGAATCACTAAAACTGCTAAGGAGCTTCGAACAATGGAGGGAGAAAAAGATACAAAGTATGTTGAGTATCAGAGGATTCGTAAATGTTAAAACGTTGCCCACACATCCCTATTTATAAGGATACAGGCATCGAAACCGAGAATCAGGCGATCATTACCCAGCGCAGATATTGAAACGTCAGAGGCGCATGAAACGAAGCAACGCGTCGGGAAAACGTGTCATAATGACGCATGATATCGTGACATCATTCTGAAACAATGCATCCCCAAAGTTTGTGTCTCACGAAGAGTCATGTTGCCACCTCACCTAAAGCGTCACTACCCAGCTCGCTCGCCTCACTTCGTCAACTACGACATACGGAGTCCGCTCACCAAGGTCGTCTGAGCTCTGGGTTAATAAGAGGAGGCACTAACTGCATAGGCCAAAATCCGTCTTCAGGATATTTAGCGTAATATGACATTAAAGAAAGTTATAGGTCGAGCTCGTCCAAGACTCAGCGAGGTCAATGGCCTAGGTGCCGACATGAGCCGTGGTTAAGATATCGATGATTATCGCAATCGAGATGTCAGCAAGGGTCAGGATTGAGATCGACTGTTGATGATAAGACTTGTAACGACTAATTTGTCAAGATAGGGTACTAAAAGGGAATATTCTAGTGAATATTCCCTGCATTTGTACTATTAGGATTTCCTAGGAAAAAGGCCTCATATATATATAGAGAAAGAAAAGACAATGATAGGGGTATGCATTATTCATTTTCTGATAAGAACACTTTTGAGAAGGAAACTTTCCCTCTTACAAAAACACAAAGATTACCTTTTTACAAAGATTCTTGTTGATATTGTTCCCCACTTTTCCATCAAATTCGAGGACCGTTTATGCAAATCTTAAATTTATTTGTCATTCATCACTGTCAGACAAATTATTCGTTCAACCCATCCATTATTGGGTGAATCATTCTCCTTATTTACTTAAATATCATTTATTGATATTTATTGTTAGTTATATCTTCTTTAATTTTCTTACTTTAAGTGTATCCTATATTTATTGCCACCAGTCATATACGGAATCTGTCCCAATTAACATACGTCTTAGTGCTTAAATGTCTAGAGTTATTATCCTTGGCTAGATTTAACCCTTCCCTATATAAATTTAATAGTTTAAACCGGAAATTATATTCTTCAGTCAAACAGCATTACGCATGGAACTCATTTGAAGCAAATATAAGGGGCCAAAGTGCAATTTGCTCATTTTTGTTGTGCGGAGTTCCAGCTTTTGATTATCATGTATTAAGACACTGCAATCAAATGGACATTTCCATATCATGAAAATTTTAGAACAAAGCAGCAGCTGAAGGATACACAGAAATCAAAAGACAAAATGACACCTTTCCCTGTTTGCATCATTTTACCAGCAACACTGAAACTTGACACAACTGCTTAATGTATTACCATGCGGAGTGATCATATATTTTCTCAAATAAAGTTTATATTTGACTCATAATACAACAATTGGAGGAACACGTCTTACCACAAAATGATACAATAGACATAGGAGGAAAAAGAAAGCTTTTCCCAGATTCATGAAATATCCTCGGGCGATTTATTGCCCCAACAATCACACTTGCATTAGCTTCATGTTGCAACAATTACTGTCAAACCTGATAAATTAGCACTTAAAACAAGCAATTCTATTTGGCACCTCAAACAGGCTTGCGATCACCCACTCATACCAAGAAGTTCTATCTCTTCAACTAGTGAAGTGCCTCGTGTTCTTGTTTCACGATAGTATCTTTTTTTTCTTTTGCATCTTTTAGCCCCCCTCAAACAAGCAATTCTTTTAGCACCTCAAACAAGCCCCTTTTTTTCTGGGGAAAACCTAAACAAGCAATTGCAGGGAGAAACCTGCAATAACAGATGATAAAATCACACAGCCAAAGAAAGGCTTCTCTGACTAGGATAATTATGTGGTTTTATCTCCCACGATTCAGATTCCTCTGCTTCTTCTGGTAGGATGAACGGCAAAGAAATCTCTTGGATCATAAGGTCACCACAAAACGGGCAATCACTGGCTACAGCATCATCCAGTTGTGACCGGATCTGCAGCATCCAGTTTGGCAAACAATCAAATACGGAAAGCCAGAAACTAGGGCTACATTGTCTAGATGAATCAACATCGAGTGAGCTCATACGATTGGTTTTGTCTCAGACAAGATCCTTTCAGTTTGAAATGGATCATCTTTTCATCAAAAACTAAGACACTCAAAATGACTGGAAAAAAAAAACTTCTTTTATAATTAATTAGCCACTTAAAGGGAGTGATATTTTATAAGCATAAGACTAACCTTATGCATGGGAGTCACGCTAACTAGTGGTTCTTCAGACAAGCCACCATTTGACACATTCTTAGGTTCAGCACCAAGTAAAGTAAGTTGCTTCTGCAGATCCAGAATGTATTCGGCCTGCAATACCATTTTAAGGAAAACATTATAGAGACTGTCAACCCAAGTAATTTCCAAAAGCAAAGACATTTCTTCCAAAGACGTAACAGATGGTATTGGAGGACATATACGTGGCCCTCTCAGGGATATTTATGATTGCAAGTATCAACTGCAAGATTATGCTTATTTGTCCTGTTAATTGGTCATTGCGGAAAAGCAGAACTGAAATAGATCTACTTTTCGTTAACAATTATTAGAAGCAAAGATATTAAACCAAAGAGGTAACAGATAATATCCGAGCACATTATATTTGGCACCATCACGGACAACTTATCAATGCTAATATTTACGCATAAAGGATATTTTCACGTTAATTAAAGAAGAGAATCTGGCTCATTGCTGGAAACAAGAACTCAAAAAATCTGGAGAACATATCTGAAGAACAGGAGGAGGAAGAACAAATCAACTAATTAAACCTGACAGTTCTTTACAAGCAATGCTTTCAAAAGTGAAGAGCGCGAAAAATAATCGAGGTTCATTGGCCTTGAAGCAAAAAGTAAGAAGTGAAGCGCATACTTAATTGAAATGAAGCACACAATTTACGGAGAATTTAAAAATATCAAACATATACGAGTTTAGTCCTCTAAGAATTAAATTACAATTAAAGTAACTGTTAGTTTACAGTATGTATATAGTGTAGTATTGTCCCAAATTGGTAGAAGAATAGTATGTCCTTGTATAGTATAGCTATAAATAAGGACCTCTTGTATTGTATTGTTCATCTAATATCAATAACATATTTTCTCTCGTGCCTTCTCACATGGTATCAGAACAATTGTGAGAGACTTATCGCTGTGCATAAATTCCAGCGATTCCGGAAAAGAGAAATCGCTGTGCATAAATTCCAGCGATTCCGGAAAAGAGAAATCAATACTTTTTTAAGGCTGTTTTCCATCTGCTTCATTTCTGTCAGTGTTGTGCAAAATCCAACACTACCACAAGAGTCGTAACTGTCCGGCGACCAAACCCCAGTGAAAAACTCCGGCAGCAGCCTCCTCACGCGCCTCCACACGCCATCAGAAGCTCACGAGCGTGAGCTCACGCGCCGGCGCGTACGACCACTTCCGGCCATTTTTTGAAAATCTTCCTTCAGAACAGTTGAGTCGCCTGGTAATTCCGATCCTACCCCTACTGTTTTCATTTCATTCCGACAACTTTGAGTTTTTTCCGGCAGCTATAGTGTTATTCCGACAGCTACAGTAGATTCCGGCAGTTACAGTATTTCAGTATTCTGTTTTTGTGTTTCCGTACACTGTTTCAGTGGATTACAGTTGATTCTTTCTCCTATTTGGTAATAATTTGAAACAATGTCTTTGGGATTTGATGCTTTTGGGTCTAGAAACATCGAACGCTTTCATAATTACAAAAATTACCATAAGCGTCCCTCATTTCCAGATATTCAATATGAGGAAAATTATTTCCTTGCCTCTACTTCTCACGAAGGAAGAAGTATAATTGAATGGAACATTGATGCTTTGGCAGAGCATCAAATTTACCGTAAACTTCATGAAATGGGAGTTTGCATTACAGCTTACAAGATAAGAGGATCTTCTGACAAAGA